TCCAAAACAAACAAACAAACTTTCTGAATGCAACTTTGCGATACACTTAATTTCAACAGTCGCGCTATAACAAACGCTATAAGTCACAAAGAACGTCTCACGTGCTCAACAATACGTCTTTCTCTGTCCGCAGTTCAATTACCCATTACATTGTTGCCGTCACGTCTTGACCGTCTTATATGTACAAGAATACCGAATCTAGTAACCTCTCGAGGTTTCATGAACGTTCTAGAAGTGCATGACGTGTTACTAGAGTCACGTGACCTACGCTGTCGTAACACAACTTACATAGCCTAACAAACACATCTTAAATGTTCTCGCTCAGAAATTGCTTTAAAAGTTTAGTTATATTGTAGGTCAATCAATGAAGTTAGTTGATCATTTCTACTGGCAAAATGAGTAAAATATAATAAAAAATGAACTTTTTACAAAGTAACACATTATATTTTAAAACAATAACTTATATAATTTTTGTTTAAGAAATATATATATATGGCATTTATAATATACTCTTTCATCATAAAACTAATCAATAAATCAACAAAAACATACTAAACGCCTTATTATCAGTGTATAAAAGTACAGAAAAATCATAACATCTTTTATATAACTACATTTCAGAGGTTTACAGAGATTTATTGTTTATTCATAATTATGCAGAAAGCTTCACAATGGGATATCTGTGCTCTGCCCACAGACATACCGCTGTGCTATTGGGGGCACAGAGATTTATACTTCACATGTTTACAATATATTTCTATGATGTACCTGACACACCATTTCATTAGTTTTTGTTAGAGGGCGTAGTAATATCATCATGGCAGAGTGTATAACATCTTGTTTTCGAAAATGTTTGGATACGCCAAATTTGGGGTACAACTCATTAGAAGAAACATCTGACATAGTATTGTTAGACACAAAAAACATGGGTATGTGTTTTGCTTTATTTATTATATTACTTTACTAAAAGAATCCAACAACGTTTTGAATTACACTTTAATATAACATAAGCTTACACTACAGTTACAATTTGAACTAACAACTTACATGATTTGCAATTTCAACTTTCAGGATAGATTTTTTTAAAATAAAAAAACAGCTAAAATGGGATAGAAAAATATATCACGTTATCAGTTAAAAACAACGTTTTGCCAGTGTTAACGTGGCATCATCAAGCTAGGCTTATTATATATAATATTAAGCTACTTAGCAGTAACTACCAGTGTCAGTAGGTGTAAAATTCTGTATTATCAAGGAGTTTCGTTGAATTTTAAATAGCGAAAATTACGAAACTTATGATTAACGAAAAAAAACAATTCATAATCTTACTTGTACTGTAGAATGCAGTATAAACTGACTTTTGCACTATGCGAATGGCTAATTCTAATAAAATACTTCAATTGAAAACCTATATGCGTGAATTTATATTACATTGATAAATGAAAAGAAAACTGTCAACAACCAAATGTTAAAAATCAAGTATGAATGTATGAATTTATATATTTAACTATTAAAATGAAGGAGAGATTTTGTATTCAAATAATTTACGGGATTAACAGATGTGTATTTGTCATGATGTAAACTGTTGTCAAGGCAACATATTGTCTGTTTTCAGTTCCAATTCATCTTTTTCTTTTTTGACATGGTGTCGGTTGGAATTGTGCATATCAACTTATGAATTATCTAATAAAGATCATAAAATTTATTATATGGCTTTGTTTTTTCAAATTAAAAGACAAATAGGTATTTATTAGTGGTTTTAAAATTTTGTTTGTGTTTTTATACAGAAAATGTTTCTGGATATAAAAAACAACAACCCAGAACAATAAAGAGCAGGAAGAAAGCTATCTTTTTATATATTGCTGACTCTTATTAGCCAAGCACCCACTCAACAATGCTCTATTTTTGGGGCTAACATTTGCCCATTGGTTGCTGCTAAATGATAGAGGAATGTTTAGTGATCTTATACCTGATTTACAACTAGTGGGAATATTGTTACCTTGAAATAAAAAGTGCAAACTCAGCATGTAATAGCACTGTAGACTTTTTCCTTTGTTTTTGGTGTAAATTAATTTAGTATTTTGATTATGGGAGATTTATATATTTGCAACTGCGACTTTTCACTCAGACACTTCCATGGCCGAGAACTATAATTCTCTGAAAATCGCTAATATTATATTAATATCATTATTATTGTAGATATAAATTCATATGACAACCATATCTCAGTATACAATAATGTAGGTAATATAAGATGATAGCAGCTTTTATACTGCAAGTATAGCTATAAGTAGAAGAAAGCTAACACATTTTGCTAAGTGTTTTGGTAAGTTTTGGATAAACGTAATCTGCAATATAAGTTTATGGCTGGGCATAATCTGACTGTAATTTGTAAAACTCAAACCTCGTATATTTTGTTACTTGTGTTTTTTTATGTTTACACCTCCATTCAGATTTCGATTTAGCATTTCATTTGATTAGTATGCATTGTGGCTGAAAATGTGAAATAGGATATCTTTAGCCAAAAATTTATTTCAGTTTCAGCCTTTTTTTGTATAAACTTCATTCTTTATTTGTCTGATCTAGGTTTGAACTAGGTAGAGCTGAAAGGCGGAAGCTCAATGCTGATAATATAATATTCTGGACAAGATTTTTCTATTCTTATAGTGGCAAAATGCTCCTGTCAACCATGTTTGATCATCTTAGTTACTAATAGAATTGTTGAAATTTTAAAAAATTTTAATTCTGAATAGTTCAATTTTTTGTTTTCTTTTTTATAAAACAATAAATGTTTAATTGTACAGATAGCACGTAATCTGCACATTACTGCACATTATTATCAGCTCAATGTTGATAATAAAATATTCTGGACAAGATTTTTCTATTCTTATAGTGGCAAAATGCTCCTGTCAATTATGTTTGATCATCTTAGTTACTAATAGAATTGTTGAAATTTTAAAAAATTTTAATTCTGAATAGTTCAATTTTTTGTTTTCTTTTTTATAAAACAATAAATGTTTAATTGTACAGATATACCTTGTGATGTTATAAAAAGCAGATCTAAATGCTTATGTAACCGTATAATTCCAAAATTGCATTAATGAAAGTGTTTTTTCAAATCAAATCTAAGTATTTAAATTTTTATTATTATATCAGTTACACGAGGCTTAGAAGGGTTGATTGGAGCATTTAAATACCTGATGAATTGAAAAATCCTGTACATTATATCAGCATTAAACTAACTTCAGGCTCTAAATAAGATAAATGAAAAAAATATTGGTAAAGCTGATCTAGTCTGAATGTTTCCTAGGGTTTCATTGTAGTGTAGCACTATTAAAATGGTCTGTGGTACTTCATTTCAAAATTATTAAAATTTTGCTCAATCTTTAGCCATTAAAATATATGTCTAACAAGATGGAGTGAAAATTTGAGTCTCTGCACTATTAGTAGGATTATATAATGTAAAAAAATAAGAATTTAAGAAAAGGCCATTCAGCTCATCAAGGTCATCTCTCATTCACTGAGGAAGACAATTTTTTTTTCAACTCCAACTTGAATACAACCTTTAACATCAATGTACCTATCCAGCAAAGTTTTAAAATAATTCAAAGTAATTGCCCATGCTCCATCAATAAGCAAACCATTACACAAATTCTCCACTGCCAAAAGTGCACAGGAAAACTATTTAACCCTTAACAAAGTTGTACACTCAAACTAATCCTCTTCCTATAGCAGGTATAATTCTAGTATCTTGTTTTTGTACCCTTTCCACAATAGAAATATCCTTTTTTGTGGCAAGGGGACCAAAAATGCACACAGTAAATAACAAGAAGCCTCACTAGTTTGATATAAGACTGTGATAAATTTGTTCTTAAATTGTAAATTCCTATAAATGGAAACAAGAACTTCCTCTTCACCAAAACATAGCAAGGGGCCATAGGATTTGGTCAACAGTCTCACTTTAATTCTTCCATTTTTCCATAACACCACTACATTCTTACCTAGTTTTCATACCCCAGCTACATATTAAACTTCATACATCCCAGTATTAAAACTTTTTTTTTTGACAATCCATTGAGACTACCACTGTTCTTTTTGATAACAAACATTCTAAACAGAATTTTCTTTTCCAACTATATTAACTCTTTTCAACCCAGGCTAGGTCGGACCGACCTCATAACCAGTGTATGCTTGTTACAGTTATAACTTTTAAATTAGTAAGTGAATGTTAACGAAATTTGGCAGTTTATCAGTAAACATTACAATGCTTTCATATGAAAAATATCTATTTTTTTTTATTAAGTCTTAAGGCTTTATGAAAGTGTTATATGAAAATTATCAGTCTTTCATTTTGTGAAACTAACCAGTTTTGCCAATGCATGTGCTGCTAACTTTTTCACCAATCCAATAAGGAACCAACTTATCAGTCTGTTGTGGGACACTGCATGAAATTCTTTTTGAAAGTCGAGGTATTTAATGTCAATAGTGATGCCTCCAAAAATGTGGAAAGCTTATTGAACAAACTCCAACAAATGGTTCTGGTTGTTTCTTAGGCCTGATAACAGAAAGCACTCCGATACTGTATGATATGTAGCTGCCTCATTTTGAATACACAAGTGTCATGGTTACTAAATACTCAGAGTTAATGTGAATCATTTAAAATTAAACTTCCTGAGAATGGTGCCTCTACTCCTGGAAGAAAGGAGAAATTAATTGAAAAGTAAGATCACATTCTTTGATACTATGCATTGTACAATACACTCTTACTGTTTTACCAAGTTTTCAGCAAAAATACTGTGGCCTAGAATATTGAGCAGTTTGAGTCAAAGCATATCACATAAATTTATCATTTTTAGATCAATGATAGATGATTTACTTAAGAACAGTATGTAGTTTGAGATTTAAAAATTCTTATTTAGATTGCTTTAAGTGTAGTTTTCATGAATTTTCCAGCATGATAAGAAACCATGACCAATTTCCCTAACCACATCTGCTTGCTTAGGGAACATGTATATGCCAAGTCATAGTGGAATATTTTCTTATCTATATGCAAGAATAATTTGTCCAATAGCTTAGAAAAAATTTCAAAGTCTACTCAAAAATATTTTGCATACTATCAAATAATTCAAACTAATTCATTCTACTGTCATGTAAGCATTAAAAATCTTCATTTTCCTTCAGATTTTCCTGAACCAAGCTTTGTTAACCTTTTATTGTAGATTACTCACTCAACTAGAATAAGACTGCATAAAGATGTGTTTTGTACAATAGAAGTAAATTACATACAATTATAAAGCAGGAATACATATCTTCACACAGGGCCTCCCAAAAATGGTATTACAGGAAGAGATTGCTAACATTCACAAGCTAAATGATGCATTATAAATGTTTTAATCAAATTTCAACTTTACAGTCCTATTTTGACTACAGTTCATGATAGTGGGCCATTTATTGTTCAAGAATCATAAGTATACATACCCTTTCAATTCAATGGTACAAGTTCCATTGGCTTGTTTTTAGGGATATAAATCTCAATTTTACAACATTTTTTAAGCACTTTTCACACATTAAAAATAGATATCTCATAAAAATATAATTTTTCAATGAACTTTATGTTCAAACTTCTATTCTAATACCAATGTTATGATGTAATAACTGTTATCAGAAGAGATCCTCAAATTTTCAATACAAATTACAATTGTAACTGATTAATCAAGTGGAAAATGAATTTTTATAATAAATATAAAAAACATGGCAATACTAAAAAACATCTTTAATACAGATGTTTCAGAATTTCTTTAAATTTCATCATTAGCGTTAATATATCAAAAAAGTTAGTTCATAATATTTGAACTACAAAAACAACATTAGCATTGAGTGAGTTTTCATATTCAATCAGAAGTTAAGAAAGAACAGATTTAAATGGTAACAATATAATGGAATGTACAATAAAACGTGCCATACACATGTTTAATAAATAACTGTTAAGAGAAACTATTATAGAGAAAGGCTTAAATATGAGTATAAACACTAACCTTAAAATAATAATAAATATCAAATAAAAACACTGAGAATCTGGAATTGATTACATTAATGACAATAGGGAGGAGTTGATGTTATTATTTAGAGATGTATTCAATAAGTTACTTCCTCTTCTCGTAAGATTACCTTTTCTCCTTTGTGCTGCCCTCTATATGCAAACTTTTTCAGAAACGCATGCCATGAAGCTTCATTCTCCCGCTGTTGGAATTCAAAGTTCCAACACATCTCTTCTGCAAATCATTATGTGTCACCTCTCCACCAATAGGAGAGCACTACTATTATGTGACACATTATTCCCTCTATGTGCCACTACCGAACTATCACTTCTTGTTTGGCAGCTGTCGAGTTCATACTTTCTTTTTTTTACATTTTTCAGTTACCTGGAAGTGGTTCATTTTTTATATTTTTCTTTACTTCATTCTCTTGCTTCCAATTTTTGCAGGCCTTTAGATGAGATCCTTCAAGCAGGCATGTGGTTGACTCCCCATACATTCATCTCTCATTATTTACACCATCTGGCTGTTTCATCTCCTGCTGGATTTCAATTCCCACCAGGCACCATTATTCAATCAACTCTCCATCTTTTTCAGCTCCCCTTTGACATTTATTAGGATCCCACCTCCTAGAGTATGCTTATTTCCTTTGGATGACCAAGATTGATGTCTCAGATGCATTACTTCAGATTTTCATCACACGGTCTTCAAGGTGGTTCCTACAATTCATTCATTGGGATCATATCTTCCAGTTCAGGCATCTTCTCTTTAGCATTGTGTTGGCCCATACATCTTCAACAAGAGTTGTCAGGGCCTTCATGTGCCATCTCCAAGGAGTTGGTCTAAAATTCCATTACTACATGAACAGTTGGCTTCTTCTGTCCCATTCATAGGAGGAGTCTTACCTTCACACCTCTCTTCTTCTGTAGGAAGCCACCCATTTAGGGTGGCTTGTGAAAATTTTCTTACCCCCACCCAATACCTCATTCACCTGTGAGTGTTTTTGAATATCTTTCTCAGCCAAGCTTAACCTTCTCCTTTCTGCTTTCAAGTGGTAGAACATTCTGTCACCAAGATGCAAGCAACTCCTACTTGTTCTGTTTAGAGGTTGTATTGCTTGTAGGGACCATGGCTTCCCTGAAACTGCTTATTTCATTGGGCAATGCTCATATGCACCTTCTTCAATGGTCCTTGCATGATCAGTGGAATCATTCATAGGAACCTTTGGACTCCATGGTTCTCCTGTCCCTCCTCTTCTTACAGATCTTTTTTGGTGGCTGGACCACATCTATACTACTGTCAGTGTGCCTCTACCCAAACCTGATTTACACATCTTCACTGATGTTTCACTCTCAGGATGGGGTGCATTTCTGAAAGACAAGCTTACATTGGGCACTTGGACCCAGGATGAGTCTTTACATCAATGTGCTCAAACTTTTGTCAGTGCATTGTTGGATTGGTGTAGGATCAGCCCACGCATTCCCTCATCTTACTACTACCCAGATCTCAGTTCCCTGGTGGTCTGATGGGATCATTATAGAACCGGCCTACACAAGTTCCCATACATGTGGTTGGTGGGGATCCTTCTCATATTGTGGACCGGATAAAATATTTCCAGCACCACATGGTTTTGGACCAGAGTTGACCCACCATGTTTGTATTCCCCCTTCCTACCATTGTGAGGATGTCAGTTTCCCAGGTGGCAGGATGTTGGTTATGTACTGGGTCTGCACACATGTGCCGAACCTAGACTGTCAGAACAGAAGTTACTTTTCCCTTGTGTTTCGTAGTCATGGGGTGAAGATGGTTGGGACCTTCCTTGTACTTTGGACAGGAAGACACATACCTGATGCTGCCTGGTTTTGGACAGGAGTTGATCCACTGACTACCAGCTGTCATCTACTGTTCAGTTCAGTTGAAGTGTGCATTTACTAACAAATCTTGCCCTCCTTCCACAGCTGGTGTCAGTCCAAGAGTCTGACAGTAGAGTTGTGGCATAACACACCAATGACATGTATTTTATGTATTCCTTCTGCAGCAGTTTTGGTCAAAGAATCTGTTGGTAGAGTTGAGAATAACATGCACTAATGATTTCTGTGCTTTCCTCCCAAAGCTGGTGTAGGTCCAATAAATCTAGTTGTAGAGTTGAGGTGAGCACCTGGTACAGTCTGAATATGCTCCAACCATGCTACAACACATATTGTTTCAATGACCTTTTTTTTGTTCTTATTTGCTTATACCATACCCATGACACATGGGGCTTGTTTACCTCTTCCTCTCTTCCAATCTGGGCGAAGAGTGTACTCTGGAAAAAATAAGGTACGGTCTCCCACAGGAGTGCCCCTATGGAGACCCTGCTATTAGGTGTCACACTCCATGGTTTTCCTTTGGGTGCTTTCTGAAGGAAGCTTATCTACTTAGATAACTTTTGCACTTGTCCCTCTACCATATCAACATGCGGTTCTAGCTTTCTGTGTGAAGAGGTGTGTATCACCTAAGAAGTTAAAATTTTCCTTACCTGAAAGTGTATTTCTGATACATACTCACCTCTTCCCACTCTTTCTACCCACTTCTGGTGCTACTTAGTATTCCTTGCCTTGTCAAAGAATGAAGATCATGAGTGCAAAAGCATATAGGGAGCTTGTGTGCAATGAGGTTGTGTCACCTTCCTATTAGTGGAGGGCTATTACTGCATAATAATGTTATTATGCAGTTGCACAAGTCATGAGAAACCTTGTGAATTTAAGTGGGAATTGCCTAAAGGTAAGTGGCATGCAAATCTTCACAACAGATGCATGAGGAAGATAGTGTGAAGAGGTGAGTATCTGTTGGAAATACATTTTTAGGTAAGGAAAATGTTAACTTACAGCAGCACCAAGGCACTAGCTAATTATTTTTTGGACAAGTGATTATTTATGTGAAATATATTTTCAGGTAGGGAAAACATAACTAAGAAGAATGTCATCTAGTTGTGTATTTTGTGTTTTCAGAATATAGCAGAAAGAAATCAGAGTCTTTTATCCATTGATCTCCCATATAATCTTCCCAACTTCAAGAAGATCGCCTCTTACCTTTATTTTCTCAAGAGAAAATAAATTAAGCAATATTAACCTATCCTCAGAAGATATCATTTCCATCCCAGGAAACATCCATGTAGCCCTCCTCTGACCATTTCCAATAAGTCAAAATTGTTTTTTACGGATCAAAACTTTGAATGTAGTTTATTTAGAATAATTTTTTGTACCGTATGGAATTATAAATAATTGTGCATATACCTTATAACATCATGGTACTGTTCCATTTTTTAACAGATAATTTTTCATTGTATTAGGAATTTGGCTCTTTTCCTAATATGTATTTATGAAAATAACCTAAATTTCAAAGTTGGAAAACATTTAAGATACTGGCTCATGAGTTACTATTCTGTGTAAACTCAGACTGAAAGCAATTTAAACTGGCTAGGATTAGGAATGGTGCTTTTATCAACTAAAGGCTTTTGTTCTATGCTGATTACTTCATATTGTTTATGTTACTGTAATAACCTCATTCAGGAAAAAAACAAAACTGTCTAATGGGACCTGGCTGTGACAAATTGTCCAACAGGTAACACCTTACCTGTCTGATTTATACCAAAGTAACCAAACTCGATACCTCTATGTAGCATTGTTCCAGACAAGAAAAGATATTGAACCTGGTCAAGTCAAAGGGTCAACATTTAGTCAGTGTGTTACCTGTCCTTGAATTTTATTTAATCTTGTGCTAAAAAGCTATTAGTGCTAGTAGTTTTTTTGTCAGGTATTATTCTGGTGGAATTGAGAATTCAAACAAATGCTACATAAAATACTTATGAGGAAATAAACCCTAGGGTGAAACCCTACAAATATAATGTTAAAGTGATTTTTATAAGAGGTTAATATTGCTGCAGTGTTACAGAAAGGTAGTATTCTTTGTGTGCTTTGAAACAAATTAACTTAAATTTATCCATTCAAGAGAAATCTGAATAATATTTGCATAACATGACCTGTAAGTTTACAGTCACTGTACATGTATATAGGGCCTTCTATGTATATCTGCTTGAAAGTAATGTTAAGATTGATATAGAAAAATGAGGTTTAGCAACATATGTGAGAACATGAAAAAAGACAATGTGACAGATACTATTCAGCCCATCACAGCTGATTAAACATTTTTCTTCAGTTACAATCTAGCCAATACATTCAATGCAAACACATGAATATATTAAATAAATATATAAATAAATTATTTAAATAAATAAATAAATTTTTTTTAAATAAATAAATAAATTTTTAAATAAATTTTTGAACCTTTATTTTATTTTTTGCCACTTTTTGTAAATGTCATAAAATGAGTACTGTAAAATCAATTGGTAGTTATATAATCTTGTCTTAGTTCGAAGTAAGGAGCCACTTAATTATTATAAAATTAATCAAAAAACATTTCTCAAGATGAATAAGATTTTAAATGTAATTGTAAATACAGTTTACAAAGTATTTATTTTTCTCCAGGTCAAGATGTGGTGCTTGTGAAAAATGGACTTAGAATCTGTGGTAGTGGTGGAGCTCTTGCTAACTATCCTTTAGTTCAGAATAAAGCATATTTTGAAGTAAAACTACAGCAAAATGGTGAGAATTCTCTATGCTTCATCTGGCTTATAACTATAAATGCACTTTGTAATCATTAAACAACCAGAAAAAAGAAACGTATTACTACGTAGAAATTGGTGAAATAAATCTCTGAAAAATTTCAAAAGCTAGCCATTTGTATATCGTCTCACTCTGTGTTAACCATATGCTATTGATAAATCACCAAAATAATAAGAACATGTACCAAAATATTGTTTTTATCTAGATTTTATAATATACGTCACAGACATGAAAGTGATCAGGGGTTGTGTGTACCTGGACCAATAGGTGTAAGAATTATATCTTTAAAAGTGAGGGATCTGTCGGATTCTTAAGATTGGACACTTAATATCTTTTATGCTCTTGAGATAGGTTTTTTTGCCAATTAATTCATTTCATTTATCAAATTTTTGAAATTTATTTAGATGCTTTTACTTTAAACTTTTTTTTATAAGTACAGGGTGTCCCAGAAGTCTGATTCCATAGGGAAAAATACACACTTATTCTCAATTTATTTGTTATTCAAATTGCATTCTGTTAACAGCCATACACATATCAATTCTTGGTATACTGTGCCATCAGGGTATTTTCTTTCCTGAAAGATGTAAAATTGACATGAGAAACGTGTTTGTTTAATTTTATGAACATAATGTCTATTTTCCCTATGGGTCCATACTTCTGGACAACCTGTATAGGTATGATAAATTTGCCAGTATTCACTCTGGTTCATTCACCTGTGGGCACTTTTTAGGTGTCAAATGCACATTTGCATATCAGATTTCAAATATTAAGTAAAAATATTATTCCGATACATTATTTCCTTCAACTCGCCTTCCGCACCCCCCCCCCCCCATTGGAATCAAATTATTCCAACGTGTGTCTTATGCAAATCATCATGTGTCACTTCTCTACCAGTATGAGAATAGTACACTCACATGACACATGTGACTCTCTC